TTCCTCTTAGTTTAAATAACTATTTATAATAACTTGAAGCATTCTACTAAATGTATTTAAATAGGTATGCAGATAAGAAGTATGCAGCAGTTAAAATGCTCTTAAAAAGCAAAGACCCCAAACAGCTTAAAATAAGGGAAGTACACAAAATGATCGAACTTCTTAATTTATTCATACATAACTAATTTTTGAATATCAAACATAACTAATAATTGATTATTTTATACATACCAGAAAAGGGAGTATTGTATTTCTCTCAAGAAAAGTTTGCAGTTTATAATATTAACCATTCATATATTCTTTTAGAAGAAAATTGTTAGCTATTCATTGTTAAAATAGCAGAAGTCACTACAAAATTGTTTATCAAAGTGATGAAAAGATCAGAAACAACTTTTACAGAAGACAGTCCCTCAAGCAATATTTTAACAGGGATGAATATATTTCATTCTGTCAATTTCTACTATGCATGAGTTATGAAGAACTGTACAAAGCCATGCTAAATGGATAGAAGGATGGCTACTTACCAACAGGGCGAGCTGTAGACATTACAATGGTGTGGTGAGAACATAAAAAAGAAATTAAAAGAAAAGAAAATTATCAGAATGCATGATGTGTAATGTTACATTTAAGTATGGACAGTAGAATGATTTCTAGTCATAATTCAAGTATGAACAGAATGTCTGAGTTTGATAAAACTGAACGTTATAATGTAATTCTAAGAAAGTAATTATTTTTGCATGCCAGGATTAACTATAAGCAATTAGAGAAATTTTATGTAAAGTCATATCTTCATCACTTAACTATAGTTATAATTTCAATGGTGTTTTTAGAGTTAAAAAGCCTTGTGCTACTGTAAAGTTAAGAATCTGATTACTCTAACTATTCAAGTCACAGACTAGCAAATGTCATGTCAATAAAAGAAGGCCTCACTGATTTAAATAGCAATTGGTTTTTAAGCATGGTTAGTCAGAACCATTATAGGACTACAGAAAAGCCCAGGACACTGCTTTTCAGCCAATAATAAGTTAAGATCACATCACTTTTCATCCCTGGACAGGGCGGATGAAAATATAACAAATAGGTTGGAACATCTTTAAAGATTTCAGCTGAGTAGCTCCCTAACTACTGTTAAGCTTTTTCTTATTTTGGCAGAGGGCAGGAAGCAATGACTGACAAGTTGATTCCTGTTCACACTGAAAATGGCTTTCAAACTGGTGCTTCAATAAATTGTTATTTTTATTTTACTGTAACTTTCAATTACTAAAATCAGTAGTAATAAGTTGCCTCTATTACTAATGCACAGAAATTATAAGAGACACACATGAGCTTAGTAACATTTTTTAAAAAATGAATAATGCTAAATCAACTTAGATAGTAAACCACTTTATATAAAAAGCAATAGGCAAATATAGAACATATGGTCCCATTTTTTAAATGAAGAAGAAATACATGTAGTAGCATTTAAACTTTTACAAAATCATACATTAAAAATATAAATTTATTAGACAAGCATTTCACCCATATCCTAGCGAATGAAGCTCTAATGTATATGAAATGAGACTCTAGAACTGATGGCTAGTTTCATCCTGATGATGTTTCATGAGGAATGATGAGATACATATGGCCTTTCAAACCATGTTTATAGATACTCATTCACTCAACACACACATCATAATACAAACATTGTGCAATCTCTGAACAATACTAGAGTTGCTTTTATGTGAGATCCATGGTTTTGTAATATTCACAATTGAAAGGGGAGGTTAAGACAATTCAAAGAAAAATAAAGTAATTATAGTAGCAGTATGAAAACTCTAGCGTGCTCCATAGTCTATGATGGGTTTACTATAGTAACAGGAATAGAAGAATTTGCCCAATGTATAACAATTTATTTTTGTTTTTTGTTGTTGTAGGGGACACATGAAAATAATAACCAAGAATAAGACAACAGACTAACATCATAAAGTTGTGGCTTATTCTCACTGACAAGATTTCGATTAATTTTGCCAATGTCCAATAGAAAAATAACTGTCTTTCATTTTTAAATTTGTATTTTCATGTGCCATCCTAAGCTGAATCTTAAACATAATGTTTCCTATACATAGAAACAAAGCAGCATTTTGATTCTATGCTATTAAACAGTGATAAAGAAGAAACCATGGTGAGAAATCATTTTTTTAAGAAAAGAAAACACATTTGTTTTTTACTTAGTCTAACTAAGTAAGTTTCAAAAAAAAATTAAGGAATTATTGCCCTACAAGCAAAATGGTTATTCCAATGAAGTCTTAATTTATGCAAAGCCAATTTGAGCAATTGAAAAATAGAGAAACATTGTGTTTACAAATATGCAGTTTGAGTTAACACATTTTGAAGGTAATCTTAAAAGTTCTGTTAGATCATGAATTATTTGATTAGAATATAAATGCTAGGACGTTTGTTGTCCACCATCATTTCTTTCAAATTTTATGTTTGTCAAGTCACCAAAAGAAGCTACTTGCTGTCAAGTTAAATTGTATAGACTATTTTCACCATATTTTTGAAATGGAAAACCAACTACTAAGTCACTCTTTCAGATTTTGATTATAAAATTTATTTTCCTTTTCCCCATTTGGCTAAAGTGAACATTGTGATAAAATTTTAGCAGAAACATCACAATAAAATCTCTTGTCTTTGTTACATATCAGCATTTAATCCCAGAAAAACAAAACAAAACAAAAACAAAAACAAAACAAAACAAAACCCCAATAGGTGAATGTTGTCAAAATCAGCAAATTAAAATAAACTGTGTCCCTGCATTAAATTGATGAAAATAGATGTGGCCTATTGGGTCAGAGTTTACCCTGTTCTAATAAAACAAGCAAAGGAAGGACTGAACATTTCATTTATGTGCATAGAAAAATGAGCACAGAAAAAATGTCATAGATAATATTTTTTTCCTGTTAACCTGTTAGCATGAGTAATCCCAACTTCTTTTTCTAATGATTAAAATATTTAAATAATATTTTATTCTACTTTCTATTGTATTATGGAGATTTTTTTTTCTGTGGCCGGTTTGAGGACTCAGTGTTGGATGAGTTATAAATATACACCACACAGATTAAACTCTCTATTCCATCCACAAGGTTTGCTGATTTAAAAAAAAATCCTATTAAAAATGAATAACTCTTTCTATTAGTTTTGTAAGTTAGCTTCAAATGTAAAGGTCCATGCAGGAGGAGCATGCTTTGTTAAATGAAATGTTAAACCTGAAACTTTCAACAAATTATGAAAGCAATTAGCTTGGAAAGATCTTAAAGCAAACAGAACACTTCAAGTCTCATTCACCCAGGCATTCAAGTATAAAGGAACCCTGCTGCTTCTACAAACAAACAACTCCTCACATTTTCTCACCATTTGTTTAGTCAGCAAATAGTTTTTGAATGGAACATTTCTTTGTTGCTTGTTTATTTTTCCCCCATTCACTTCAGAAAAAAACAAACAAACAAACTTTGGGGGGAATTTGGTCGAGTGAATTATTTTTGCAAAGGACTGCTTAGAGAAAAACAAACATATGTATAAATATAAAATCAGCTATAGAGAATTCAGGTTAAATATAGTAAAGAGGCTTATAGAGGCTCATGTTTTGACCATATGTAATCAGTATGTACATTCAATTGATATATAATCATAACTTTTTATGATGTGTTGCCCAATGAGAAATGAAAATATTTTTAAGCAACTAGCTTGCCAATTTTGCCTAATGTGTTTTGTATATCAGTTCACATCAAACTGGGGGGAAAATTAAAGTAGATGGAATAGAAATGGAGCAATTGGAAATTATAGAAATTACCAATGTTTTCCAGGTATCCAGAGTGCGTATGTCTCCTGGTAATTATCTGAAGGAAGGTGAGGGTTTTCTTTATGATTTGATGCCCAAATTATAGGTCTGACAAAAAACAATTTGAGAACAACCAACCCAAGTTCCCTTAAACCTTTCTCCTAATCTTATGAAAAGTTTTGGGAGCAAAGCTGCACAAGAGTAAGAGGTATGACTAAACAGGGTGAGCAGTAGCTGAGACCTGCATAGAGTGTGCAGCCAGCCTCCTCATCGGAAGGCTGAGAGGAGAAAGTGTCAGGGGAGTGGAAGAAAGATTAAAAGAATGAGCAGGGGATGCATTTGCCTGTTTCTGTCTAAAGTTCGTTGAGAGTAAACAATACCACAGATAATGTCTATTTGGCCAGAGTTAGTGTGGCTGTCTGCTTGGTACTACTTGGTACCTTGGGCTATGTAATTTACTCATATGGATCAGTGTGCACCACCAGGAAGAGAGTTAATTCATTCTAGTTCACCGTAGGGTTAAGTAATGCTTTCCTTCACTTATAAGCAATTCCAGGGAGTCTATAAACGAACATTATCCCATGACTGAGAAAGTGCATGACACCCAGAAAGTGAAAGTTATTATAGGAGGAGCGCTGGCTATTTCAATTATTTAAGGCCAGTGAACTTCACAAATCACTCTCTAAATCAGATTTTCTCAACGGGGGAGCTCCTTTGTATTCATTTTTCACCTTTTGAAGCAGTGTTACGTTTTTTTTGTGTGTGTTTTTTCCAGATTGCTTTTTGAATGCTGGAATAAAAAAGAATTTTAAAACAGTACTCTGCAAGTATAAAGTGACAAACTACTAAACTGAAACACAAAGTAATTTTGAAATTAACCACATTTAAAAGCAACAAATAGTTCAAAGCAATGGAAATATAAATATCTATTTTTAAGATTTATTTTAAAATCATGTTAGCTATTATTTATTTTTAAAAATTAATTACTTCAAATAATCATCCCTTTGAACACAAATTTGAAAGTAATTTTACCTCAATTAATAATACAGTGTATACAAAATCTATGCCTTTTAATATAATAATAAAACAGGGTAAGCTATTATTTTGATGGTGGGTTCACTCACCCATGTAACTAAATGTTAGCCTGCTGGTCCAATCATGTTACACATCTTCGGTCTCTTACCTCGAACAGTCAGGGTGGCAGAGGCTTCCACTTTTCCAACCCGATTCTCGGCAATACACATGTAAGTGCCTTCATCTACACTCAAGGCCTTTTTAATTCTCAGTGTGTAGTCATCTTTGATGTCATATCTGTGTAGAATATAAATTGGTTTTATTAAATAGCTTTGGTTATATTTAGATAACAGTTCATTTTTCTACTCTGTTTTGCCTGAAATAAAATAAAACGCACACACACACACACACACACACACACACACAAACACACACAACACACATGCACACACACACACACACACACACACGCCATTCAGCCATATAGTGTAATGCTTAGATTAAAGGTATTGCTAATATGATCATTAATTTCATATCTGATCTCCAGGTGCTTGATTATTAATTACCTATTTTTATATATATACACAACCCTTGCCACATCCTAATTATCAAATGTGTTCAAAAAACTCAAAAACATTTCTTCACAAAGATAAATGCACCCTTATGTTCATTGAAGCATTATTCACAGTGGCCAAGACATGGAGACAACTAAAGTGCCTTCAGTAGAGCATTGGATAAATAGATGTGGTCCATATATACTATGGAAGACTATTCAGCCATAATAAAAGATGAAATACTGCCTTTTGCAACAACATGGATGGACCTTGAGAATATTATGTTAAGGAAAATAAGTCAGGAAAACCTAAAAACCAAATGATTTCACTCATAGGTGAGGTATAAAACTGAAACTCATAGACATAGACAACAGTATGGTGGTTACCAGACAGAAGGGAGTGGGAGATAGTAAAGGTTAAGGGGGCAAAATATACGGTGATGAAAGATAATTTGACTTTGGGTGGTGGGCACACAATACAATATACAGATCTTATAGAAATATGCACTTGAAACCTATACGATCCTTTTAATCAATAGCATCCCAATAAATTTTTTTAAAAGAAAAAAATCCACAAAAATATTAAATGTTTAATTAATTAGAAGAAATAAAATTTATGTTAAAATAACAACAACAAATTATCAAATGCACTACCAGCACTATTTTTGGTTACTCTTAGACAACAAGTAGTTCATATTTGAGTTTCTTGGTGAGTTATATCCTATCATTTTATAGGTTACTCTGCTTTCAAATGTATGGTTTATGTTTTTAGGTATTTTGAGTATAAGATAGCTCAAATATTTAAAGGGGAAATTTATTTTCTCATTTGTTGGCAAACTGACAAAATAAGCATTGGTTAAAAGAATTAAGAACTTTTATTAAATCATCAACATTAACTCTTAAAATATCAACATGTCTGGAGTGATCCTGAAAACGCACATGCTCTTTCTCCAATGGATCATAATTCCTCTGAAACAATTACTTTTTCCTTAAAACTACATATTTCACAAGCAATTAGATGTTAAATATCTCCACAGGTCCAGTAAATGTGGCCTTTTTTCCTGTATTTCTTTCTGGATAAATTGGTATATGCTCAATTGTAATCTCATTGATGCTTTACACTATTGCTCTGGGTATTTGGAGAAATGTGCATTTTCCCCAGAGAGCAAATATTGACTGAGTAGTATGATAAATTTGAGTAATAGTTTCTTACATTTCAAGAGTTCTTTACATTTCACAACAGAATTTAATAGACAATTTCACAACAATAAATGACTTAGAGGTAATGCCTACTCCCAGACACCATTTTATAGAAGATGGCAAGATTGTTGTCTTGAGTTGCAAAAAAACCTGTGACAGTATTTCTGTGACAAGGACATTTATTTTTCTAACACAGAGCAACGCACCCCTCCCAGCTGACGTGTGTATTTACTGTTCTAATTGCCTGTGCACTGAGCAGGTGTGCATTTCTCTATTTTGTGTTCAGAGTTTCAAAAACTCCAGAAAACACTGTATCAATATTTTTCTCAATATGAATCTAAAACCAAATGTAATCCTTAGAGGTTCATAATGTGTTAACTAACACAGACACACTTTAAAATTATTATGTTATTGAACAACCTAATGTACTTAAAAACGTTGCCCTGATTTGCTCTGATACTATTTTTACATAATTGAGAATGAATTTTAAATAATTGGATTATACTTTGGTAGAAAACAGCTACTTTTGATACATGGTATAATGTTATATATGTTCAACATGTAGGAGGTATCATCTGACTTTAATTAAAAATAGGGAAAAAAAGAAATAGATGAAAAAACATTACTTGTGAGGAAACCCTAATAGAAACGGGGTGATTTTGGTTGTGAAATCTGCCAGTCTCAGACTTGTATAAATGCAGTCATTGTTGCCAGGTTTGATTAATGACAGTTGTACAATCATGTGCTGACAGTCCCCACCATAAAGATACCTTTTTTTCCTGATATGAAACACTGCTGAAAAATGCAACCCAATCAGATTTGGCCGCTGGACAACATGTGCCATCATCACTGTACCGTGAATGGAGATTGATTGGTAACCAGCTGTGACAAAGTGGGAAAGGAAGCTCTGGTTTTGTGTTGTGTGCCCCCACCCCCCCCCCATGCAAAAAAGAAAAAGAAAACTGAATTGTGTCAAAACCATTACCATCTGTTCAGCTAAATAATAAACAAAACAAAATAAGTCAAAATAAATTTATTTTAATACTTAAAACAACACTTTGTATGCAAGTTTCTATTTGTGTGTCATCTTCTTAAAAATGTTTCAAAAGAGAAAATATTATTCATTTTTTAAAGAAACAGAGTACTACATTTTAAAATCACTCCCAAATTGAAATGAAATAATCTATTGTAATTCTTCCTCCTAAAGAAACTTTCTCTTTTGGGAATGTTTCTTAGAAATCTAAATTTACTTTGAAAATATCAAACAAGATTTGAAAAATGGCAAAATTTTATAACATAACCACATTTCATACATTTCTCTCACTTTGCAATCCCCAATGCACATTCAACTTCTAGGGTAGAAACTTATGATTTCCTGGCGTTTGTGGGTATAACTTAGGGACTTCTCCCTCCAAGTTTTCCACAGTGGCTTTAAAACTTGGGAGAAAAAAGAACAACAAATACACTACAAATTCTGTTACAAAGTGGAATTTTACCATGCTCAGTTCAAGCCTGTGTATCTCATTGCCTTGTTTGGATTCCATGAGAGCTCTACACTATTAAATCTCCCCGAATGACCATTTTCATATCAAAAGCACCTTTGTTTTTCATGGGAGTAAATTTATTTTCTCAACATTTTTAGTTTTTGAAATTACCTACTACTTCTTGCTATAAGATGCCTGACTCCTATTAATCATTAAGTTGGCCAATAGGAAAAAGTATGAATTTAACCAGGAAATATTTAATGTCTATGCAAGTAAATGTGTCTATTTTTTAGGGAGACTTGAGAAGTTTGTTTTCAATTTTCAAAAGACTTGTAGTCAATCCAAAGAGCTGAAGATCACCTTCTACCTTTTACACTCTTTCAAACAATAAATGCCTGCAGTTATAGGCATTACATAGTTCCATAATTCAATAAAAAGTTAACTATGAAGCTTTACATGAAAAGGTCACACTGTTTATTGCCTACCTTAAACAGAATAATTTTTAGGATAAAAATCATATATTAATCTTATAAAATCATTCATTGATCATTTAAGACACACCCTTAAACTAATAGAGGCCATGGTGTGGATTATAGTAGATACGGAGATGCATCCATTTAGAAGTCAGTGATGATGTATTTCTATTAGTCAAAAAAGTCCATTTTAATAATTCACAACTTTGAATCGAGGTACTCTTCTACATAACATAAACGTTCACGGAGAAATTTAAATCTTTTGCCTCTTTCAGTCTTGACAGCTGAAAATAGGGAAAAGTTGTCAATTCTCCTGAAACAATTTTTCTGCTCACAGTTTTTCAATCAAAATCTTTCCACAGACAATACTTGTTACCAAAACTCATGTAAGTGCTTCTTGGCTTTAATATTTAAGGTATATCCTAAAGTGAAGCTCTTAAATTACAATTGAGGTCTGGGATCTTCAAATAGCCAAAACCAGCCATTAGTATTTTGCTGGCGAAGGGATACTGAGTCAAGTTTACTATACATTCTAGCCAACCTGGGTCACATTCTTTTTTTAATCTATGGTTATAATGCAGGTTAGCGTTTACCATTTGGGTAAAGAAATCTTTACCGCCCTAACCGGTTTGGCTCAGTGGATAGAGCGTCGGCCTGCGGACTAAAGGGTCCCAGGTTCGATTCCGGTCAAGGGCATGTACCTTGGTCGTGGGCACATCCCCAGTGGGAGGTGTGCAGGAGGCAGCTGATCGATGTTTCTCTCTCATCGATGTTTCTAACTCTCTATCCCTCCTCCTTCCTCTCTGTAAAAAATCAATAAAATATATTTTTTAAAAAAAGAAATCTTTACCTATTCTTTCAGTTAGGTCACAAGCATTTCTGGGCAGGGCAACTAAGAGCAATATAAAAATACAGATATTCCTTTAAAATGACAATTAATGTAATATTCATTGAAAAAAAGGTAACAAAAATCTTGGGAGAGATTTGTATGGAAATAACAAGAGGCAAGGTGGTCTCTGAAGAGAACTTGCTGTTCTGTTCTGGAAGCCTCTACTGTAAGCCAAAGTGAACCTTGATGATACTCTGACTCTGCCTTAAATAACCAAACTACTCCTCATAATTCTCATTGAGTTGTGTGTATTTGTCATCCAGTCACTTACACATCCTTATAACCATTACTCTGAATTCTTTCTCTGACAAAGTACTTGCCTCCATTACATTTGATTCCTTTTTCTGGTGATTCCTCTTTTTCATTCCTTTAACTCTCATATCTTTCCTTAAATGCTACCCTGCTACCTCCAACCCTTGCCAGCCTGACTCATAGATGGAAAACTCCTCTACTTTATCTCCCTTTAGCACAACTGAGAGAGCAGGGCATTTTCCAACTAAAAAGCTAAGAGAAAACAAGTAAGCGAAAAAGATGCTTTAAGACATCCACAATAGGATAACAATAATTGACATAATGAAGTGCAGATTTCAGATCACCAGGTAGTTAAGCCCAATGACAACAACCAGACAGCAGGACACCCACCACCTTGCAAACAGAGCCTGTCTTTGGAGTTTGAGAAATTAAACCAAATTGTAGCT